CAGACAGACAGACAGACAGACAGACAGACAGACAGACAGACAGACAGACAGACAGCAAACTTTTCGATCACGTCCCACTCGGGACAACCCAAGAAAATGACATCCACAGTCACAAGAAGCAGAAAAGATGAAAGATAGATGACAGATGACAGTAGTGACTTCACAACGAAACTTGTTACCGACAATAATTAATGAACTGCCGTCTGGGGTACCGTCGTCTCGTTTAAAAAACCCCACGGATTTCTCGTCTTGCTGGACATTTCCGTCCCACCGTCATCCCCTGGGCACGTCTTTGCTGCCAACGGGTTGTGCCATCTGACCACTTTTCGTTTGGTTTGGTAAGAGTTTAACAGCTCTCGCAACTACGTAAGAGATTACTGTTTAAACTGTTCCCTCAGAGAAAGCTGTCCTTAATGGGGTGGGTAGGCGAAGGGGGACGGGGGGCGCTCTACAGACGCTCGGACCTATGGCAATGGGTGATTTTTTTTAATCTTCTCCCGGAGAATGGGGTGAGGTGGGGTGGGTGCAAAAAGACAAACCTCGCACGGGCCGGGAACACAAGACATCAAGATAACGAAAAACTGAATCGATAAATACGGAAAGTATGCAAAATTTCCAACATCTACATTCCGTGGTTTCTTTTTTTTTTAAGTAAGTGTTTACAGCACTTGCAACACAATAAGGTCATACATATACGTGTCGAAGATTAGAGGTGTTACAAGAGAGTAACAAACACAAAAAAGAAGGAAGGGAGATAGTTTTTTTTAGTTTAGTAAAGAGTTTTACGGCACTTGCAACACAATAAGGTCATATAAGTGCCGAAGATTAGAGGTGTTACAAGAGAGTAACAACAAACGTAAAAAAGGAGGAGAGATAAAGACGATAGATGTTTTATAAGAAAGAAGAAGCAAACCACACCAGAGCATCTGCCAACCACCCACATTCCCCTGTTTCGAAGAATCATACACTATCGCCTGCACTATAAAAATCAGTTCCATCTTTTTGGACAACCAACATCCACTGTTCTCAAATGTTAAAAAATAAATAAATCAGAAGCAAAGGACATAGACTTCTGGTCTGTTACAAAGAAAGATGCAGAAGGTCACTTTAACCACATCCATTTAAGTCCTACGATCTTAATCAGGATGTAATTTAAGTAATCATATGACCTTCAAAGCATGCAATATCAGAATATCACTGGGCTACAACCAGACTACATGTACTGATAACGCATCTAGCTTTACATTATTAATATTTATAAACAAAAATATTCTTCATTTATATCATGCTGTGAGCTTGTTTCTGAATGCAAGAATACTATAGCATTATAATGGTTATGTGCTCATAATATGTGTGAGGAGGAGATGGTGTGTGCGAGAGAGAGAGAGAGAGAGAGAGAGAGAG